AAAAACTTATCGAAAAATAAAGAGATAAGTGGTTAAAACACACCTAAAATATTTTTTTTTTTTGAGTTTCATACCTGAACTATTGAAAGTGTGAGAAACACACCTAAACTATTACACTTTAGTTTGAAAAACACACCTCTGTGCTGACTGGACCAAATGTGTGTGTACACACTCTTTTACGCGCGTGTGGCCTTGATTTTCGTCCACATGGCTTCTTCTTTTTTTAAAAATAAAATATCAAAACACACCTAAACTATAAAATTGTTTGACTTCCTCACCTAAACTATTAGGAGAGTAAGAAACACACCTAAACTATCATTCATAAATTTGAGAAAACACACCTTAAATTATATGTTACACTAGTTGCTTAAACTCGCTCAAAAGGGACTGATATTTGTATATCAATGATGCCATACAAGGAATCCACGACGCCCTTTGGTAGCTTTAATAATTTGAGGGGTGAGTGTTTGTCCATGACATCAGATTCTATTTTTTTGTTTGTTTAATAATTAGTTAGACTATATTTGTGGTATCATTATGCCACCAAATAGAGCATATTTTCTTTCTATTGAATTGTCGCTTTTTACGGACTACTTCATCAATTATTTTCTGATTACGACTATTTAAACAACTATGAGCAGCTAAGGATAGAAGTCACCAAAGCATTTTTAGTAGCTCGAAGTAGAAAATTGGTTGGCTCTAGTTTGTATAGTATAGAAACACTAAAACCAAGTAATGCATGCTTCAATTTGCAGAGCAACCTACAACTATATTAAACTACTTGGGCTGCAAATCAGTAACTGTGTTTAGTAACATCAAAATACACAACCAAAATTTGATACCATCCTATTCACAACCCAAATTCGATACCATCATATTCACAACCAAAATACACGACTTAAGAACAGTTCGAACCACATGAAAAATCAGTCACCATGTTTAGTAGATTACAATAACTACTTGGGCTGCAAATTAGTCACCGTGTTTAGTAACATTAAAATTCATAACTAAAAGTCGACATCGTCCTATTCACAACCAAAATACGTGACTTAAAAATAGTTCGAGCCACATGAAAAATCAGCCACATCATCCCTAAACACCTTCAGTTCTTGTTGCACCTTGTGATGAAGTTTGTGACTTGATGTTCTTCTGTCTAAGCAAAGCACTTTTATGTTGAAGTTGTCTTCCTGTGATAGCACTTTTCCCCTTCCATTTAAGACCTTTACTTGGTGCATACCCAAGGTCACCGGTGACAATAGCTGAACTTATCAGTTTCTCTTGTGCTCCACTCTTGATTACCCTACTAATAGATCTTCCTTGCTGTAAAGTAATAAAGAGTCGTTAAATTATTTTTAAGAAGTTTAATCAAGATTATAAGCTTATTAACTCTTGTTTTTACCTCGGCACAAATAAAATCATCTTTGCTCACAAATACTCAATGACCCACTACTCTTGGCCTCTTAAATGCATTATTTGCACCTTTTCTATTACCACTGTCACTTTGCACTATTGCTTGAGATGGTTCAGAAGATTGAGATTGTTGCACTGCTTGAGTGGGGTGAGATTTTTGTTTGCCACTTCTTTTACTACTGGCAGATGCTTGTGATGTAGCAATACCCTATGCAAAGAATAATTTTGAAAGTGTTAAAGGTATTAATATACTATAAATAAACATTAATAGAAATCAAATGTACCTCTGAAGTGGCTGGAGGTTTGTTTGGACATGTTCTTATATTGTGACCTTTTGACTTACAAGCGGAGCAACTCATGGTTTTTCCCCTCTTTGGAAGCTTTCCAGAACTTGGTACCTCTCCAAGTTCCTTCTTTCTTTTTTTACCAGGCCTTCCTGGCATTTTCCTAATAGGAGGTGGCTCAACTTTTGGATTCAATGTCTCGGGCCACATCTTCATGTTTGTTACTGGTTGTAAAAAATGTTTATAAGCTTTCAGGTAGGTTTCTTTTTTGTACCACTTACAAACCGAGTCAAGGAGATTAGCTTCATCGTGATGTATAACTGCTATTGCATGTGCACAAGGAATCCCTTTCAATCCCCAACTTCTACAAGTGCAAGTTCCTTGAATTAGGTTAACCACATGTATATATGGACTATCCTTCACTTCATACCCAATATCACCATTCCAACTAATTTCCACCCTCATTGACTTCTTCACATTTGTATTTAGCACCAACATTGCCATTGGAGAAATGTCATGAGTCCAACTATTTACAAATGTTGTCACTTTAGTGAATCTATTCATTACCTTTTTCCTTATTTCTTCAAGCATACTGATGATAGTCTTGTGCCTAGCACCCAACACCCAAGCATTAAAACTTTCAGCCATATTGTTATCCACACTGTCACATTTTGAGGATGTCCTAAACTGTGCTTTGGACCATCTATTAGGATTGAAGTTTACCAAGTCATTAGAAATATCTTTGCCTAATTGTGCTAATTTATCCAAGTTCTTCCTGAGTTCAGCTTCAAATGTTGATCTAGCACAAGCCCAAAACCTCTTTCTTTCCTCAACACCTTTCCAGTTATTTGACCATTTTGCAAGTATATGTCTTGCACACATTCTTTGTTCACATTCTGGAAGCAACTCCTGAACAGCTAAATATAATCCCTGAAAAACTTATGTGTTTAAAATCACTCAAAATAATAACTAAAATATATGTTGCTTGGAGTACTCTTCAAAAATGTCAATGAGGGCATGTTGAATTAGCCAAAAGTAGTGTATTTTTTGTTAATTCAATACAAGTGTGGCATCAAAAGTGAAGAGTCCGCACAACTAAGACTAACATCACTTAACAACTAAAGCTAAAAGGGATGAAAATAGTAGCAAAAAAAAAAAAAAAACAGTAGCTAAACAAGTTGAATAACAAAGTACCACTAGAGTTTCTAATTTTGTGGACAAGATAAAATGTTGTTATGAACTATCAAAAGGTCCTTACAAAATGCTGAAATCAATAGTTAAAAACTACTTATAACACATCAGCTAAAAAACTCATGAAATCAGTAGTTAAAATTGGATGATAAGAGATGAAAACAGAGGTTAAAAAAGAGCTTAAATTAGTAGCTAAAATTACTTAAAACACATTAACTAAAACTTGTAAAATCAGTAGCTAAAAAAGCTGAAAACAACAGCTAATATTGGCTAAAAAAGCTAAAAACAACAGCTAATATTGGCTAAAAAAAGCTGAAAACAGCAGCTAATATTGGCTAAAAAAGCTGAAAACAGCAGCTAATATTGGCTAAAAAACCTGAAAATAGCAGCTAATATTGGCTAAAAAAGCTGAAACCAGAGGATAAAAGTCGTACCTTTTGCATATCACTTATGATAGTCAATCCTTCTCCTTCATCATTAATGTCCAAATCAGATTTCAAGATTCTCAAAAACCAAGTCCAAGTTTCTCTACTTTCAGTTCCAACAACAGCCCATGCTATTGGGAACATCTGATTATTCCCATCCTTTGCAATAGCAACAAGTAGCTGGCCTTTAGATATTCCCTTCAAAAAACAACCATCTAACCCAATGCACTTTCTACAACCCTCAATGAATCCTTTTTTCAAAGCTGAAAAACAAATATAAAAGGAATGAAAGAGTTTTTTTCCATCATCACAATTTGTCACTTTCACCACACAAGTGCTTCCTGGATTTGATTCAAGAAGCATATCTCTATAGTCATAGATTCTACTAAACTCAGCAACATGATCACCCATTATCTTTTTCAACACCATTTTTCTAGCCTTCAAGCACACGAACTTACCAACATACAATCCCATGTCTGTCCTGACCAAATCTTGTATTTCCCATCCCTTTATGCAAGGTTGAGAAACAATTCTACTTTTATAGTACTTAGCCAAAAACTTAGAGTTGCACATTGTGTTGGTATTGATCCTATAACACTTATGTCTAGGATTGTAGGTTTTTATAATGAAATCGGAAGATTTGAAATCTTTGCTTGCATAAAGTATCCAAGGACAGCCATTAGCTTTGCATTTTACTCTGACCCTTCTTTGATCATTGTGGATCTTATCCAGTTGACAACCTCTCTCAATTGCATACTTGCTCAAAGCTTCTCTAAATTTTTTTACATTTTCAAATACCATATTAAGTTGCCACACAACTTTTTTCCATGTTGGATCATATGAGACCCTCTTGTTCTTCTTTCTTGCCCTTAAAATATCAGATCTTTCAATATCTATTTCCCCCTCACTTTCACTTTCAAAACTATCGGCATCAGAACTGTCATAAAAAGGCTCATCACCTACTAGCTTACCAGTTAAATTTTTCTTAGGTTTATCAATGTCTTCAAAACCAGGATCTATGCCAACTTCTCCCAAAAAACACTCAGCAATTCTTTTTTTCCTTGGCTCTTTTTTTTTCTTCAAATATGCTTTCAAATCCTTCTTAACTATGCTTAGCTCTTCATGAATATCACTCCCATAACCATCCTCCTCACTAGAAAAGTCAACTTTCTCATCACTATGCACAATAGTTTCTACTTCATCTTCCTCCAAATCTTCATCTTCACTAGAAAACTTCAATTCATCTTCAGCTTCATTTGTGTTTCTGCTGCCATTTTCTATTAGATTTGATTGTTGGACCCCGACAATTTGATTTCTACCATCAATAAGTGTTATTTCTTTACCTAAAGGTGCATTGAGACCTTCACCAGCTTTGTTGGTAGATTCTTTATTAGGTCTATCCACTTCATTGCATGTGGTCTCAAAAGACTCATTGGTCACATGTGTTGTTTTGATAAAAACTTCCCCTTTATGGCAGATATAAATGTCCATAGTACCCCCAACAACCAACAAATTGGCTAAGACCAATAAATCCCTATCTTTAACCAATTCTACCAAATTGCCAACTTGAGCAGCTCCAATATATATTTTTTCTATATTGGTAACCCCAAAATCCCTGCAATAGTCATTCACTTCCGGAATAGACAAATAGTCTATATCAACATTGAAGGCATATTCTTTCCCCCCCCCCCCCCAATATAAACAGGTCCTACCTCACTCACAAGTATACCACCGATGTGAAACCTCAAATTTACGTACTTAGTGTCCATTACCTTAGAACAATTGAAATATGCAAAGTCTAATAAGCCAACTATTGTTCATGAAATCAGTAGCTAAAAATCGCCACCAGTACGAAAATTAAGTTCAGGAGTAAAAGAAAGAGTACCTTATGTAGTCAATTTCTTCTCCTTTCAACTCTTTTCAGATGGTATGGATCAAAACCTAAAAAATTATACAAAATCGTTACTATTTTGAGACAAAAATAAGAACCCTAACATTTTTTGACAAATGAGTAACTAACCTTGAAACCATGATGAATTTGTGAATTAATAGTGAAAACCCTAAATTTACTCAAATTTTCACACACCAAAGAGACTCAACTGAGAACAGAGAAAGATGCTTCTACATGTTGAAAGTTAAACTTTAATCTTTTGACATGGTGGAATTTGTTTCCATGTGGCAATCTATGTGGCATTTAAAAAATAATAATTGAGAGAGTGTAATACACACACTATCATATTTTACTTGAGGTGTGTTTTTCAAAATAAAATGTAATAGGTTAGGTGTGTTTCTCAGACTTTCGATAGTTCGGGTATGAAACTCAAAAAAAAAGGTATAGTTTAGGTGTGTTTTAACCACTTATCTCAAAAATAAAAATGAAGAGTTTGCTTTTGTATTATTAATGGTAAGGATTTCCTTAATTTTAACATTGATATGTGTTTGTGAAGGTTTTAAACAAGTTAAAACGTTTTGAAATTTGTTCATAATAATGTTCTTTCATTATTGACTCTCTAATCATGAATTAAGAGGTCATAAATCATTTAATATATTTAATTAGTAGATTAGGTATAAAAATGAATTAAAAATGTAAAAAAAAAAAAAAAAAAAAAGAAGCTAAATAGAAATGGTGGCCTTTGAGAGGTGCCACATCAGCTTGGGATATATTCAGCTTTTAATGAAATTATGTAACCATTTTTTCCATAATTAAGCACACTAATTATGGGGAAGTAAATATTGATTATAGGGAATGAAATGAGTATAGTTTAAAAACGCCAAAATGATAGCCTTTGGAATTCTTTATCTATAGAAAGGTATAAGTGATCATTAATTAATTGTTATTAATAATACAATTGTGTAAAAAATAGAGAAAAATGCCTAAATCTTAAGAAAATAGATAAATACATTTCCTGATCATTGAGGCATGCCACATCAGGATGAAGATCCTCCTTTATATTATATATAAATAGATTCAAATAAAAAAACATAATTAAATTTGATGAACATAAAGAGATATCACATCACTTTAATATTATCTTGTGTATACTTAACTTTAATATTGTACTATACAGATTTAGATTTCGGGAGAGAGACATATTGAATAGAATTAGAACTTAACTTCCTCAAACTAAAATAAAATCTTTGTATAAATTAAATAGCATTGATATTGATAAAATAATAATAAGAAAAAACTCTTGGCTTATATCAAAAAGCTTCATAGTAATATCATTTTCAAAGGATGGTAACATATATACATACGTTAAAAATAAAATCAAGAATTGATAAAATCAACTATTGGCTTACCTCTTCTGCTCTTCATATAAAAAAGCTTCATAGTAATTATCCTGTTTAAAATGATGCTAACATATATATACATTAAAAATAAAAATCAAGGATGGATAAAATAAAAGGAAGGAGATGAAAGAGAAGAAAAAAAACTACACGAAACCCCCCAAAAAAGTATAAGAAGATATGAAAAAAAAATACTTACAGGTAAATGTCTAAGAAGGTATGAATAAATAGGGGAATGAATTGTCTAACTAATTATAGGTGATTAAGCATTACAAAAAAAAACTATAATACGTGGGTTGAAACAATGATTTAATAGGAAAAATGTGTGATAATATAATGCACATTAATTGCACCATTATGTATTTAGCTGTTACATATTTCCTTTTTGAAGGAAGAGTTAAATGTAGTAAAGGCTAATAATAAGGAAAGTGAATAATTGTTTTAAAAGGTTATTGAACAGAAAATGAGCGGAAAAAAATTCAAAATTTAAAATAAATAAATAAATAGTATACTGATCAATGAAGCATATCACATCAGTGTGATTTGATTCAGCTTTATATATTTTGTGGTGTTGACATGTGTCCTTTTTTCTTCTCCTATTATATATAGATAGATATTGAAAATTTGTGGTGTTGACATGTGTTATTTTTTCTTCTCCTTTTATATCTAGATAGATAGAGCTGTCAAAATGGGCTGGTCCAACCCAACCCTAATGGGCTAGAGAGTTAAGTGGGATGGGACGGGCTGACCCTTTTAATTAAAGGGCCTGTAAAATAGCAGTCCAACCCAACCCAACCCTAAGTGGGCCACGGGTTGGGACGGGTTGGCCCTTCAACAAAAAAATGGACAACATTACCCTTAAAGAAAGAGTACGAACGTTGATGTCTGATGAACACAACATCAATACATACACAAATTCATTCATGAATTACACATACTTCAGTGAATATTTACAAAACAAAAACATAATAGCCAAGATACAACATTCATAAGATTCATCCGAGCAAAAAACATTACATGATAACTATTTTCATAAACAAGACAATAAAGGAGAAGTGGAAAATTAGGCATAAAAACAAAAGTAGAAGAGATCAAAGATTCATAGTTATAATGGAGTAATAAGCTTGGGCTAATAAGAAAATTTAGTGGACTAATGGCCCTAAATATAAAAGATACGTAAAGAAATTAGACTTGATTTTATATTGATTATCAAAAATATTTATTGACAAAATCTTAACAAATAAAACACTACTTAAAATATATATAATAAATATTTTTAAAATTCACAATCCATGGGCTGACCTCTGAGGCTTGCGGGTTGGGCCTACGAGGCTAGCGGATCAAATGAGGTTGAGCTAAAGAGCCTCGTTCCTAAATAGGCTAAAAAAACTTACTGCCCTATTTAATTCAAGGGTTGGATTAGATCACCCTAACGGGCCAAGCCCATTTTGACGGTCTATAGATAGATGTTGATAGTGCCTCCACCTCTTTTCCATTATTATTAGCAAATTAAATGCACATGTAATGATGGAAAAAAAAAAACAGGAAAAAGGTTATGTTGATGGTGAGATCAAAAATAATTTAAATATATTATATTTCTAGCTTCATGTGTCATGCAAATGTATTATATGCGTAATATATATGCCATGATTCACAAATCCTATTTAATTAGAAGTTTAATTTTGTGTGACGCTACAACAAATTCGATTATCAGGGACAAATAATTTCCTCATTTATAAATTATATTTCGTCACTAAAAAACTCTTGAGACGAAAAATAATTCGTCAACCAGTCGTCACTAAAAGTATACAAATACGATTTAGTGCTTCGTCGCTAAAAGTATACAAATACGATTTAGTGCTTCGTCGCTAAAAGTATTATTTAACTACAAAAAGAAAAATCGTCTCCAAATGCTTAAACATCTGTGACAAATTTATTTATCGTAAAAGTATTTTTTTTTTGTAATTAATAGTATGCTTTGTCACTAAAAATGTTATTACTATCGACAAAATTATATCGTCGCTAATTATTTTACTTCAATTAGTGACAACATATATTGTCTCTAAAGTAATATGTATTTTGTAGTTGAACAAAATCTAATTTCGTCACTAATGACTATATTTTATATAGAAAAAATTATTTTGTTCTTAAATGTATTAATTAGGGATAAATTTATTATTATAAAAAATGTTAATGTTCCTATATTATCTCCCATCTCAATTTTTCTTAACCCCTCCCCGGGGGGGAGGGGGGCCCCACATTATGCTTTCTTGGGGACTCAAACCCACAACCGTAAGGTTGGAAGTGAGGAGTGCGTACCATCCGATCAACACTCTCTTGTGTCTCATTTTAATTTTATTTTTAACTTCATTCACTTCTTTCTAATTTAACTTCTACATAAATAATATATTATATGATTATTTATACACATACACAAATGCATGAAATTTAAAACCCACAATGCATTCAAATGTAGATTATATTTTAATTAAACTGTATATTTTTTAAAATATCTTTAAATTAATTCAGTACGATTCTGTCATTTTATTTATTTATTTTTTATAAATTATTCAGTGCAATTATAAATTTATATAAAATTAAACTTCCAATTTTATTTAAAAAAATTGAATAATCGGTTCAATTTGATTAGTAAATCAATTTTTTTGAAAAAAAAACATCAATACCCATTACTATAGTACTTCATCATAATATATTTGAATCCTAGTTGGTTCATTTCTTTCATTTTTTAGTTTATTTCAATTTTCACACTGATGGAAAAAGTTAATCGAAATTAATGAAATATTTCGCACCTTTGCAAAGTCTAAGTTTGTAAGTTGATGTTATCTTTGTATAGTTTTTCTACATACGTATGTGGAATTACTATTAAAATGTACATATTTTTAGGCAAAAGCAAATAGATTGACTTAGTCTATGCAATTTACCAATCACAAGTCAATAGACACGCTCAATAATTAGCACCAAGACTTTGAGAAATTATTTTTTCTATAGTCTTTTATCGATGAAAGTGTATCAAATAAAAAACAAAAGTGTTAAACCAACAAATATTAGCAATATAGTGGTAGAACCAAAACCCACTCACGGTACATATAACTTGGATTTTATTTTTCAAATGATGCATTTTATAATTGCATAATTTAAGAAAATTGATGAAGAACTCTTTCATTTTTTCTAAAATCGACCGAATTCTTTGGTTTTAATATTTTTCCCTCACCAATTAACAAATGGACTCTGTCTATTTCTTATGAAACAATTGTATTATTCCTTTTGTAAGTTGTCACTTGTAATTATGAACAATTGTAGGCCAAAAAATTGTATTTAGCTATGAACTTTTTTCGAAGCAAATAATTGAATTATTCACTACAAATTTTAAGTCGTCGCTATTTAACATCTTACACATGTTGTGACAATTTTTTTGTTGTCACTAAATCACAGATTGATTAGAGACAATAAACTTTGTCACCAATTATCTATATTATTAGTGACGAAAATAAATGTCATAATTAAATCTAAATTTTTATAGCTAAAACTTATAATATTTAACTAGGAACTCTAATTTGTCGATATTGTAACAACATCTTTTTTTAGATGAAATTTTTTTGTGTCCAAAAATTAATAAATTTTAAGACAAAAAATAATTTGTCATGAATTAGATACATTATTAGTGACGAAATAATGGGTCACTGATAACTTTAAATTTGTGACTAACACTACTTAACAAATGGCGCCAATTAATTTTTTGGTTGGAAATTTTAGTGGACAAA